TGTACGCAATGTATGTAACGTATGATTGTATATGATGGATGCAATGTATGATTGTATGTAATGTATGATTGTATGATTGTACGATTGTATATTGTATGACGCGAGCGTTATCGGGAGACAGATTTCCATAGTTCAATCTCATACATGCGCTTTAGAGTTAAGATTTAGACTTCAGTTTGAGATTAAACTATTGAACTTCTGTCTCCTTTGTTCGTAACTCCGGGCCAAGTAGAATAAAATCTCTGCATTCCTTAAGAATGCCGAGTTGTTTGCAAGTAATGGAGGGTGGTTGGGATTAGGGACCGGGGCGGGTCTCGTGCGTAGTCACCTCCTCGTGGTGAGACCTGGTAATTGATATCGTTTTACAATCATTAAAGTTTGTAAAACGTTATCAAGCTAAGTTGTAAAACTGTAAACAATAAACTTTAATGTTTGTGAAACGATATCAAGCTAAGAACTACGCAATCTACAGTTCAGCTTAGATCGTAAAAATTTCTTTCCATTCTTCATTTCACGATCTAAACTGAACTGTAGGTACAATTAGTTGATAAGTAAACTATTGGGCCCCCAGCGGGCCACCGATGGACAACGAGGGATCTCGCAAGGACATCGTGGGATGCGTTCAATTTTAAGTTGCGTGCGTTTAGTTTTAAGCTACGTGTGTTTAGTTTTAGTTAATTATAAGATAGTTAGTATTTATAAATTCACTGTCAGCGCATTCTGTACAAATACACGTTTATTTAACTTTAAACGAAATTAGGGATATCTTCTCTTCGCTCTTCTTTCATTCGTTGTTACTATTGTTACTGTGTTTGCACTGGAGTAGAGTTTCCAAATATCGTTGTCAGTGTGTGAAGTCACGGAACTGTAGCCTCGTCCGAAAGGACGAGGTAGGTTCTTGTAGTCTAGCGTCCTTTGTAATTCGGCTCCAGTGGTTCCGAAGAAAATTTCCCCATCGCGAGAAATCCGATATAAAATAACTCGATTACGAGGGGGTTGTACTACGAGCGTTTTGTCTCTTCTCGCGATGAACATGCGTTCACGACAGTAAAAACATTTCATTATTCCGAAGTGTACACTCCATGGAAACTGGTTGTCGATGCATGAATATTATTCGTAGCCGGTTCTTGAAATTTTCGGAAATCTCGACTTTTTCGGGAATCCGACTCATCCCGACCATCGAGTTCCCGATATTTTCGGGTTCTCGCACACCCCTAGTGTATATGTAAAACTATAATATAATATAATATAACGTATATATAAAATATAAACGAGATACGTGCATACGTATACATAAAATATATAAAATACGTATATATAAAATATATAAATGAAATACGTGTATACGTATATATATATATATATATATATATATATATATACCATTAGTTGCAATACCATTATTCTAAATACTATTCTGTGAAATATGATTTTCCTATATTTTAATGAAATACTTATTGCACAATACTATTTCCATATGTAGGAAACACACATGAGAAAATAATAATATTTACATTGCTATTTGCTATTTCTTCCCGGTTCTGTCACGGACCATAACGAGTGACCAAACCGTATACAATTCGTCTTTTTTTTTTTTTTAATTCATCGGTATATCACTGGATAGAAATTATTAAAAAAGTAATAAACTTATTATTTGTTTTGCCTGGGTTATATTTCAATATACTTGAAACTGCGGAAATATTGCAATTTTGGTTGGCACGTCATTCCAGCGCAACAGGTTAAATATCGCTAGAGTGATAATGTGTATAACAATTTACGTAACAGCGTTTTGCAGTTGCACATCGTAATGGTATTAACCTAAGAGTACACCATTACCGAAATCGCGAGAATATACGCTTCGAAAATAACAGACGCAATTTGGCGGCTGTGTAACGTGCGATTAAAAGTCATCGGCACTGCTTCTGCCGAGATTAACGTGCCTCTTGAACAAAAATAACCTGCATATTACGCCTCGTGATAATGGAATCAGTGAAATTACACTTGTGGATGAGTTTGTTTGTTCATCGATTGGTAACTATTTCGTACGTTGTGTTTAATTTCATTTATTTTCATTTTTTGCTGACGTTTGACAGACTATACAACTAGGACAATGATAGCGGAGAATTATAAACTGACAGATAAAAAGAAAAAAAAAAGAGGCAAGTCCTCCAATTTAAATACTATATCTGAAAGCTAAATCGAATACGTTAATATAGAAAATATGACTGTCTATTTGAAAAGATAATCTGAAGTGTGTGTTGTACAGGTTGCAGAACATAGAGATTCCAATAATTTACAATTACGTACACGCGTGTATGAAAATTTAATTTGTCCTGCAGTATTAAAATCGACAAAGTGATAACACACAAATATATAATGAATAAGTTAATAACCGAATTTGCGAATTTTTCTTTCGAAATAAAAACAGTTGAGCGCGGAATCATCTGCATCGTTCGCAAACAACAATAATAACAAAGTATACGACTCTCTATTATATTTATACACGAAACGTGAAAATACTGTACCAAGAATTATAACCGGAAGAAACGAAAACAAGCATAGAATCTCATCACCTGATATTTACGTCTCTACCATCGTCGTTTCATTCATCGGAAGCGAAATTTAAAATTAGAAACAATGAAAACAACTCTGTAAAACAGCTCCGAGAAAGTTCTTCGAAATAGAGAGTGAGAGAGAGAGAGAAAAAAAAGGGGGAGCATTATTTTCAAACGCACGCGCGTATCCAATAATATCGCGGAGAACGAACCGAATACATTACATTATCTGTTTCTATTTAACCGTGGCGTAGCCTGAATCCGGGCAGGAAACGTCTTTATGCGAGCGTGCACGCATAGCCGATGTCATATGCCCGTTTCGAAAATAGCCCGACCCAGAAATCCTGCATAACGCAAGACAGATGTCAATTGTCACTTCCCGTTTTTTCGCGTCGGTCACAATGAAACAGCGATCAAGGAGGAAGAGAGAAATTCTTCCTCAACGGACACGTGCAAACTCCTTTCTCTGCCTCTAGGTAATACGTGTGGTACGTATTAGCTTGGGGCCGGGGCAGGGGCAGATGTTTTGGAAACCGTCTTAAAGATTTCCGTAGAGGGAGAGACCCTTTTCAGGCTCTTTTTTCGTCCTACTCTCTTTGAGACGCAATAATAAAGGACCCAACGGAACGTAGTAGCCGTGGGTCCATTGTGCGATTTAAGCAGATGTTATCCAGTGAATGCGCAATGTATAATATGAACCACGGACAAAGAATGCGATTTTTCTACCGTGGCCTCGAGGATTTTTGCGTTTTTCCCTGCGTCACACTGCGCTGGCTGAGGGAAAAATGTTCCACGCCAGTCGCGGTGGAAAAATTTGGTATTGTACCAAAAGATCGGGAAATGAAATGTGTGCGCAAGCATAGAGGGGTTCACCCTTTAAATGGTCTCGATCATACGGTATTTACAGGTAGAGATTGACTAACAGATGCTTGCATGATTTAAGAAGTTACATGCCTATTGTATCGGAGCCTTTTGATTGAACTATGGCTGTTTTTTTTTTAATTTTTTTTTTTTTTGCGGAGATTGTGATGAACGTTGGACAAAATTTTTTTATTATTATTATGAAAAAATAGCTTTCTTAAAGAAAAAATAATATAAAAAAAATAATTAAAAAAATAGCTAGCAAAGATTTTTTTATTATTATTATTATTATGAAAAGATAGCTTGTTTAAAGAGAAAAATAATATAAAAAAAATAGCTAGCAAAGATTTTTTATTATTATTATGAAAAGATTTTGGACCTGAGCATTGAAATTAAATGAAATAATAAATTTTATATTATTTCTAATAATGATATATATGAATTATTATTATGTATTATAATGGTAAACGTTTTCAATATAAAATCGATAATATATAAACATTATCAATATATGATTTATATACAATTAATATTAATTCGCAATTAATACATAATTTTATTATTAATTACAATTAATATTAATATTATTAATTCATATATTATTAATATACAATTAATAATATATGAATGTTATCAAATAAAAATAAAATAAAAGAATAGAAAATTTTATGTTGCTGAAGGCATTTGGTAGAAATTTATTAAACGTTCAATAGTGATATGAATGGAATGCATCTCTAAAGAGATAGATGCGTAATAAATATATTTACTTTTTATATTTAATTGCAGAGTATTAATTACGTTTATCTACGATTGGAGCTTCTCTCGCTTTCATTGAAAAACTATAGACTGTAGACCTTATGCATCCATTTCCAAAGTGCAAAATTGCACATAATTAGAAAAGATGTACGAAATATCCAAGGTATAATGCTGTCTATCATTAATTTGACAGAGCCTCTTTCAAAACTATCAGCATCTTCCACTAAAATGAATTGAGACCTTATAATCACCCTCTACATCATCATCAAATTGCGCTATAAGAATTATGAAATGAGAAACTCGAAACTACCATTAGCGACTACGCACATAATACAACAGTCAGAATGTCATAATAAAACGAACGTTAAAGAACGTAATCAAAGCTACATCCGTTCCTTTTAATCGCGACGCCCGTGAAAAAAAAATATATATTCAAAGCGAAATCGAAGCCGAATTCGACACCATTTCTTATTCTCCTTTTTTTTTTTCTTTTGCTCTCGTTTCCATGACAGACATAACAATGACTTGGCTTCTGCGAGTCGCACTAGGACAGCGTAGCGAAGTGAGGTGCGAATGTCAGAGTTGTAAATCCGTTTCCCGTCGATCTCGACGCGCCAGGGCCGAGGTCAACCAGCAGGACACAGCCGACTCCGATGACTCTCTCTCCTTTCTGTTTTTATTCACTCGCCTGGGATCCTTGCCAGCGGATTCTATGCCTTGAAGAAGATCGCAGCCATCGCGGTAAAATAGCCTCGTTACTAACCGCGATCCACTTGCATGGTTATTCAATGACTCTGCTAAATGCCTTCATTATGACACAGTGTTTCCATACGTTTCTGTTCTTGGAAATGATACGAACAGCTCGAAATACGTTACTAATAAACTCGTTGCTTCTTGGTATTGATAAATTGAGAAATTCAGTCGAAAGAGAAGTTCGTTTTAGATTCAAGACACAAGGGAAGAGCCACGCGCATGAAATTATTATATACAAAAGCAAGTAAGCAATATAACAGTCAGTGTGGCTCAAGTAACAGGCATCTCTGAAGCACGCATTGTATCTGCTTTTATTTCTATGCTCCACACTTTCTCGTATCTTTTATATACATTTTTCCGACTGGCTTTAAATTTTACCAACACACATCAAAATATAGTAGTTGCATCTCACATCGCGTTGCTGATAAAACTTCAAAAAGTTTCATATATATATATATATATATATATCAGACCTTTAAAAAAGTTTTTGCGCAAGTTTCTTTACCAGTCTGAAGCTGTGTAAAACGTAAAAGCAGGCTTGGAACAAGTCCATTATCCCCTTTTTTCAAAACTGATAAGGTCAAGAACCTAGGCACCAAACCGAGAAAACGGGAATTTAAAAGAGGCAGAAACAAACGGGAGAGATGACGGCTGCAGGCAGTCGGTTTTAAATTCCCGGCGAATACGTACATAGTTGGCCGCGCGGCGCATGCATCAAACGCTAGGAGCGTTTAACTTGGTTCCACGTTGCGAGGAATTTCTCCGAATATAGGAGCAAGTATATAAAGTGACGTATGCGAGTATCTTTCGAGAAATTTCCCGTTGGATGGAAGCGCGGGCATGCGCCCAACTGTTCCTCAGGGACAATTCTCCTGATCGCGTCGGACGATGGGGACGGAGCGAGCAACCTCCACGCTCCGTACCCTTGAACCTAGCAGACGCTCGCGGCGTTGCCGCCTCGTGCAACTATGTCGTGCCGTCTCGCTCGGCTGTACTCGGCTTCTCTCGGCTTCGTGCTTTCTTCGCAAGAATTCCGCGTTCGGCGTTCGTCGTCGTTGGTGGCTGGCACGACGCCGAGTATGCTGACGTCACGCCACGGCGTTACGCGTAGCGTTACGTAAAAAACGTGCTGCTTTACTCCGACTGCCATGTCGTGTACCGATGCAGCCGCTCGCTCCGTAGAAAAGAAAAGTTGCGCGAAAACTCGAACTCGCTGAAAAGATAGGACAAGCGATAGGAAAGAGAGTAAAAAAAAAAAAAAAAAAAAAGAATAAAATCTTACAGAATGCTATTACTTTGGTTCCTATGGTTGTGTGTGACGTCGTACGTTGGCAGGTTTTTCTTTCGTCGTACGTTGGCCTTGCCACTCTGGATCTAGGTTACGTTCAATCATGCTTTCTCCGTGAGATTTCCGTGTTTGTCGACGACGACGCGTTGGTTAGCAGACAGACTGCACGCTCTGACGTCACTCGCCGGTGTTACGTAGAAAAAAACGGAAGAAAGAGCTTGATCAACGTTTGCTCTCGTGACTTCAATCATAATAAAATCGTTTCACCTCTCTTGCGGTGGATCGACGGTGAAACTCAAATTGTCTCTGTTCCAGCGGAAAGTAGATATCCTCTTTTTTTTTTTTTTTTTTTTTTTTTTTTTTCTATTTATTAGGACATTGACCTTGCGTTTACAGTCCACACCACAGTGGAACCGGGCTGCGCCCGAGCATGCTTTCTCCACAAGAATCTCATGTCCGCCGAGACGATGCTGACTAGCAGACAACATTGAGACAACAAGCTGACGTCACGCGCAGCGTTGCGCGTAGCGTTACGTAAAAAGAAGAAGAAAGAAGAAGGAAAAAAAAAGAACGTGGCTGACGAATCAGAAATGCATTGGTCTATTACTGTTAAGGCCGCGTGATGAGTCGGCTACGGGACAAAGTAATGGACTTAGCGTTGATTCATTACGATGAAAAATAACTGACGTCGGCAGTCGTTTTACAACTGTAATAACCGATGCCAAAGATAATGCATCGTCAGGCGTGGTGCAGGTACGAGCGTGGAAATAATTGCAACGAAACAAAGTCGAGTCGAGTCGTGAAATAACTTCTGTGAAATAATTCGTCTCCTTTTCTAAGAAGGGATACGTATCGATGAAATATATCGCTTTACCGTAAATCGCGACTGAAACATCTTTCTCTCTCTCTCTCTCTCTCTCTCTCTTTTCTTCATCTTCCCTTTACTCTCACTTGCTCTTTCTCCTCCTCTCGTCTGTCCGGCGTTCGCACGCTCGTGTACCATTTACGAGGCAAACCGGTTTACACTTTTTTGCGAGCCTCGGCTTCACGAAGAATGTTGATTTTTGCGATATATACCGCTGAGAACCTAACCTACATCATTATCCGGATGAGCTGGCTGCACTTGAAATCTTGTTTCCCCGCAGACCTTGAATCGTCCCGTGTTATTTTATTTTTCGTTTTCCATTATTAACAGGCGACAGGGAATGATGCATTTGGAGAGCACTCGAGACGAACGTCCTCGGGGCTCGGTGCGCGACTCTCCTCCCCGACAATGTAAAATTTTCTTTCGACACGCACGAGCCCGACTGGCACATCGGCAAAATGACAAGCGTGCACGTACGTACGCCTAACGATCGAAAATTCAGTCACGACAGAGGAACGACTTCATGGTCGGGGACAAATTCGGCAATGTTCTCGGCTCGTTTCTCATTCGCGGCACGGGGCCGTCGTCGAAAATATTTTTACTACCGAAACGCACGTGGCATGCACCTCCGTTGATTAGTGTAAGTGGCTATTGTTCTCACTAACCTACAGCACTATGGCTCATTATCATTTTTCAGTCGTGACGGTACTACCGACGAATTACAACGGCCTCCAGACGAATATTCCTTATCTGTGTGCACGTTTTAACCGTTCGCCGTGACGAACCGCGTTAAAAGCGCGCGAAAGTTAAAGCTGAGGCCTGACATTATCCGAAAAAAAAACATCCTCCCCGTGGTTTTTGTTTAATTTGTCAAGTTGTAAATTTCTATTGTCCCAGGTACTTCGTATCTGAGACGATAGTATGGTTAATTACGTACGTATATATAGAACTTCGAGTATGCTTTTAAGAAACGATCAATAATCCTTCAAAGTTGTAATTAAATTTGAATAATAATTTCCTACGTGTTATGATCAAACGTATACGTTTATCTAGAATTTGAGGAACAAAGAAAAGTAAACAACTAATTAAATGCTACACAGAGTTCATCTTTCGATGCAAGCGGCAACGAGTACTTAAACGGGTCTTACTGCGTGCGCAACCATAAACCGGTTAGACGAAACTTTCGAAAATTCCAGAATGACGTAGTCTTTCTCGCGTGTACATATGCATCGTGAAGATACACAACCGTGTTTCTCCCATCGTTCTTCATTTACAGTTACTTATGTAAGGTACTCACGAGCCTCTTTCTTTCTTCGTTATTCCGACGCATAGCAATCGGCTTGGTCACGTCTTATCGAGCATAAAGGAAAACGCGCGCCTTATCACAAGCCACTATTAGAATGGTCACGAAAAATTGCTTCCAGCGGAAAGCAAATTCTTCCCCTACTTACCTTTGGTTATACACTCGGTGGTTATCACAACACCATGATAAAAACGTTTAACAATAATTCATACTTGAACAAACACACACAGCACATACATTTCGTGCATCCGCGTGAACGCGGAACACGTGTTTGAAAAATAGCAACGAAGAAGCATTATGCCTGTCCGACGACAAAAGCACAATGCAGCCTGATTTGTGATTCAGATTTATGGTATGCGAGTTCCTTCCATTCAGGATTAATATAAAAAATTGCATTAATATTAATTTGCGGGCCTACGTTAAAATGCGAATCTACATTATTATATATTAGAAATGCGCAAGTGGCATAAATAAACGTGCATTAGAGATTAATGGCACTCACGTAGTCGCTGGTAAATTCACACGCATCGCAGAGGCCTTGGAAACATTGATGGAACTTGGTTGCCTCTTTGTGGTATCTCCGGATGCAACTGTAAATAATGAAAATGCAATACGATGGTTAATTGCAAATGTGAAAAACAAATACTTTCAATGAATTAATTCGTAACGTACTGTAATTGTAACTACGTTCTTCACTCGATGTTCCAGTAAGTTTCTCTTCAATTCTAGACGTTGATAGTTCATAATTTCTCCAATCTTGGATTTCTTTGCGCAGCACAGTAATTGGATCGTCGTCAATCGTATCTTTGTAGCTCCTGTTGCCGATGGAATCCGTGTATCCTTTGGATTCAACGGCTTTTACTTTTATAGTTTCATCCTGAACAGGAATACTTATCGCGTGTTGATATTTCGCGGTCGAGTTACTCGTCCATTTTCCTTTCTTCTTGTCGTTCGCAGACATTTTCGACATAAACAACTTCTGCCGTGACTTTGTCGGACATGATCTTTTATCGGTTAGGGAACTTGGAGTTTTACCGATTGAAGAAACATTTCGATTGTCACGTGACATTCTTTGAAACCTTGGGCCAATCGAATTTCCCTTTTCCGACATAATGCCTGAAATAATATAATTACAATAATACAATAATGTATCGTGTACAAAAATACAATAATAATGTAATAATAATTTTACAATGATATTTGTAAAATATTAATCTCTAATATAAGTAAAAACATTGTTTCGATTCGAAAGTATAAATTGATGAAAATTTATTTCTATGGATTGTTAAATCTAAGATCATAAAAATTACGTAAGTATATGACACACGTATACATATATACACGTAGATATGTACGTATGAAATAAATTTAAATAAATCAAATGGAATGAATAAAACCGAAAAATTGAAGCACTGCGCCATCTATAGAAAGTAACGTTCGTTGCGATTACAACTTCCTTATGGTATCACAAAATTTGATTGTTGTTGAAATTAGGTTACATTATAAAATTGATAAAAATTAATTACTTGATTATGAATATTTAATTATTTACTAAATGATAAAAATTCACTTACTTGGAATCTACTCGCTTAGCACTTTATCGTGTAATTGGTAATGGATACAGCATTGCCGTTAAAAATGTCACGAAACATAATGCTAACAGCGCCAATAAAGCATTGTGATTTACAACTAATAAAAAACAAAAGAATTTTGTGGGTAACATTTCGTGATCTTGCAAGATTTGACTGGAATTTAGTATAATACGAACGTATTATAGTTACAACAACATGTATACGGCGAACTGAAAACGTATGTCTTGTTAATTTTGCTTGAAAATACTGGGATAGACTTTTGTAACGTATGTATTTCGATGCCTTTACGAACTCTCGTTTGCCAATTATTTTTGCATCGTTACTACAGTTGACTGATAAAGTTTACAGTAACGTACAATAAAAAATTAGACAGGAAAATATATATTTTCAAAAAAGAAATACTTTTTAAATTACAGATTAAATCTCGCATAAATATAAGAATATTATTTGATACGATGTAATAATGTTTAGAAAATGATTTTGTATAAAAATGTTTATACAACCAAGTGAAAATAATTAATAATGAATATTTATTTTATTTATAATTTATTACGTACTACGTTTGATTTTTTTTTTCATATATTTAAATTTCAATATTTAATTCTTTACGGTAGTACATTTTATAGAGAAATTAATTATTAAAATAATATATATTTTATAGAGAAATTAATTAAAATAATATATATAAACGATTATCTTACTTTCCAAATAAAAGATCCTCGATTCATCCAAAATAAAAGTCACGCTTGCTTTGTCTGAATACTACGATTAATACCATAAATGCAGTGAAACATATTTGAACTCGTTTAGATATAAAATAGCGATCAAGTGAATCACCATGAATAATTCTTTCTATAAAAAAAATTAGTTTCTTATTTCCTATAATTACAATCTCTCGTAAACCCCAAAGCAAAACAAATTGTAAAATTTGATATATTATTATTTTTATATTTTGTATAAAATTAAATATATTCTTAACGAATTCAATTACTTAATTACTCAATAATCTCAAGATTCGAATCGATGACTTATACTTGAATTAACAAGTGTCGTGTAGAGAAAAGAATGTGGATTTGGTTGGTTATTTCCAATCCATTCTTAAATTTAAGAATACCTATTGGTTGAGAATGTCACGCAGAACAAACAAAACTTAGTGGGTCGGTTTATAGTGAGAGAAGGAACTGCTTCCTTTGCTCTTGCATGGGACTTTTCATTTTTGTACATAGATACAGCTATATATAACTGAAAATATACAATTTGCAATTCGTCAGTAGATGGTACTAAAGGTGAAATTTCTGTAGCGGATGATTTTATGTATAATGTGAAGTTATAAAGGATATAGAAGGTGGAGTGAAGTATTTCGTTTCAGAATCACCGCCAGATTCAGCAATAGGGATAATGCCGGCACTCCTAACCTCAGACGCTCGAAAAACGGAACCCATCTTAGAGGTGTTCGGCACACTGCAACGCTTAACCTAAAGATCGCACTTGATCCGTATCTAGGCGGCATCCACTTATGATTTGTAACATTCGTGGTTTTGGAACTGGTATACCAACGAAAGACTGGATGTGCTAGCCGCTAGAGGCATTAAAATACTAACGTCGCGTAGCGGTGAAATGGTAGAACTAATTTATATTGTTGTCCTTGTCGCACACTATCACTCTCCTTGTGTACGGCGAAAAATGATTGTCCTTGTCACACGCTATTACTCTCCTTGTCTACTGATGCAGTAATGTGCAAAAGGACATCCTTCGATCTATTGAAAAAAAAATTCAATTTTTTACACACACGTTTTTCTAGGACAAAACACACATAGAAAGAAAGCGGGGAGCCTAATTTTAAGAAAGGATATAAAAAAGTTCGCAAATTATTCCTCTTAATTAGGTTTTTCTCATAATTAATGCGAACTGTCACAATATGGACATGGTGGCGCCATCTAGCGGTAACGCAGTGGTACTAATTAATTATAAAAATACTTATTTCTGCATTTTACGGGTCAAACGGGGTATGAAAAGAAAGCTAAAGGTCTAATTAGGGTAATACAATGACAAAAGTTCACAATTTATTTCGCTAAATTAGGTTTTTTCGCAAATGAAAATTTCTCTGTTTTACGGGGTAAGAAACACTAACGCCGCGTTGTGGCAGATCGGTGGAACTAAAACTGTATAACCATACAAGGGGAATAATTAATTTTAATTTTTCACGTCAAATTGCACTCCACGAGCGCTTATTTCAAAGACAATACTATCAATTACGTTCGCAAGTAAATCTGCATTTAATATTCATTATAGTTTGCGCGAAATTATGCACTCACTACTGGCACTACTACTAGCGTAAACGAAATTGAAACATTCTTTATATACGTAAATTATACTTAAACAAAACATAAAACGCAAGCTTAGGGTCTCTAAAATCGAAGACGAAACCATAACAGGTCACAAATGATTCCTCTTAATTAATTTTTTCTCGTAATTTGTGAAAAAAACTGTCACCTGTCAATGTTTAAAGGCAATGGTGGCTCCATCTATTGATAACTTGGTGGTACTAAAAGTAGAAAATTCTGTTTTTAGTACCACGGTGTTATCGATAGATGGCGCCACCATTTCTTCCGATGTAGCGACCTATAGTTCCTCGAGTACGAGTTTCGAACACCAACTTGCACAAGCCGCAAGTGGCTGTGCGCCTAGCGTCGAAGTCAACCGATATTCGATGTTAAGCAAACAGAGTGCGGAACCGCTAGGATGGGNGGGGTAAGGAGTCGCTGCCATCAGCCCCACTGATGAGTCTAGGCAGCGACTCTGAGACGAAACGCACAACCTTTCCTCACCTTACCCACATCATCACTTCCTACATTATCCTCGCATTATCATCGCCATTACAAACCCTTCACCGAACATTGACAGGTGACAGTTTTTCCACAAATTACGAGAAGAAATCAATTAACAGGAATCATTTGTGAACTGTTATGATTGCGTCTCTGATTTTAGAGACCCTAACCTTGCGTTTTATGTTTTGTTTAAGTATATAAGTATTGTTTAAGTATATAGTTTACTTATATAAAGAATGTTTCGTTTACGTCAGTAGTAATGCCAGTAGTGTGTGTATAATTTCGCGCAAACTATAGTGAATATTAGATTCAGATTTATTCACAAACGTAACTGATAGCATTATCTTTGAAATATATGCTCATGGAGTATAAATTAGTAGCGTGAATTAAAATTAATTTTTGCCCTTATATGATTATAGAACGTTTAGTTCCACCGGTCTGCCACAACGCGGCGCTAGTGTTTCTTACCCCGTAAAACAGAGAAATTTTCATTTGCGAAAAAACCTAATTTAGCGAAATAAATTGTGAACTTTTGTCATTGTATTACCCTAATTAGACCTTTAGCTTTCTTTTCATACCCCGTTTGACCCATTAAATGCAGAAATAAGTATTTTTCTAATTAATTAGTACCATTGAGTTCCCGCTAGATGGCGCCAACATGTCCATATTGTGACAGTTGGCACTAATTACGAGAAAAATCTAATTAAGAGGAATAATTTGCCAACTTTTTTTTATGCCTCCTTGAAATTAGGCTCTCCGCTTTTTTTCTATGTATGTTTCGTCCTAGAAAGACGTGTGTGTAAAAAATTGAACTTTTTTTTCAATAGATCGAAGGATGTCCTTGTCGCACACTATTGCTTTCCTTGTCTAGCGTCATTAGATAAGGAGGGCAGTAGCGTGCGACAAGGACAAACATATGCGTGCGGTCGACAAGAAGAGCAATAGCGCGTGACAAGGACAATCATATTCGCGCCGTAGACAAGCGTGCAATAAGGACAACAATACAAATTAGTTCCGGCACCTATCCTAGGAGTGACCCACACGTTGCCTGCCTGACACGAAACATCTGCTCTTTTTCTAGCGTAACTTGATTGGTTCTTTATGTACAAATTTTGCGCGACAATAAATAATTCTTATGTTAATTTCTAGTCAACTGATTATTTATTGATTTACTTCATAATATTTTTTCTATATCTTTTCTCATTAACTTCTTATAACAGTATCTTAAAGATATAATTTTACATATAAAATTTTACATATAAATTATTCAATTAAACAAATATTGAGTAATTACGTAGTCTGCATATATTTAATTTCACTATTAAATATTATCTTACTATTAATTATTATCTTATTTTATGTATCATTTCCATAGATATTCGAAAAGGTGACTTTATAATGTTCTGAAAAATGTATGATTTAAAATTAATAAAGACATGTTTTCAAACATATAATTACGAAACAAAATATTTCGATTTGATAGTTTTAGGATCGAAAATCTCTATAGTCTATGAACTCCTCAGAGAGGTTAAGTAATTCAACATTTTACATGTGACGTACTTGGAATGTGTATGTGTATTAAGCATACACGTGCTTCACAAGAGCAGTCTGAATCTAACCGTAAATTAATTTACATCGAAGTTCCTTTCAATTTTTTATAGTACACCAATAAAGTATTTGTGTACAGATATCTTAACAAAAACTAAATTATTACAATGGCAATGCAAGTTCCTACAAATGTGGATCCTGAACAAATTAAATCGGTACGTATTTATAGTTGTTTCAAATGTATTTTATACAGAAATTGAATTAAACATATATAAATAGATGATGAACATATTGACATTCGTTAGTACAAAGATAAGAGATTATAAATTTTGTTATCTGAGAATAAAAATAAGTTGTAAAGAATAGAAATTTGAATTAGAACTTTTATAATGCTTCAGGTCCGAGATTTTGTGACATCCTATAATAAACTGATAGAAACTTGTTTCATTGATTGTATAAATGACTTTACTACACGAGATGTCAAAGCTAAGGAAGAAACGTGTTCTCTAAACTGCATGGAAAAATACTTGAAGATGAACCAGAGGATATCACAACGGTTTGAGGAGTTTCAAATGCTTGCTAATGAAAATGTACTTGCTGCGCAAAAAAAAATAACAGAGGGTAAAAAGTTTTGAACATTGTATTAATAAAGTATATAAATTAATTATTTTTAATATTTTACTGTTATATAATTTTTTTTTGCTTATTGATTACGAATAAATGAGTTTATTATTTAAAAACTAAAGAAAATAACAAGAATTAGAATTAGGCTTAGAATTTGTAAAATGAATAATATTTAAATTAGCAATGTATTAAGTTATGTATAATACTTGAATCAAATTTCAATATAAATATATATATATGTGTGTGTGATAAAAAAATATTGGATACAAAACAGTTGATAAATTAATAAATATATTAATTTGTTGCCAAACTGGTTGAAAACATTTAAGAAATTTGTATATTGAAATAGTTATAATCACAGTTGAGAATAATATAACAAACTTACATTGAAAATTTAATAATTTTACATGTTAAAAAAGTCTTATATTGAAGCACCATATGAATGTACATATAAATAATTTATTTCATGAAACAAATTTGAAACATTATTTGGTTTAACTTGATTTTGAATGATCAAAATCATGCGATTTCGGTTTTCCATGAATTTCAATATCCATGCTATTTGAATCCCATTTGAAATGAGAGAATTGTGGTAAAGTTTGTAATGAATCTAAATTTGATGTAGGACTTAAGATTTGTGAACCTGTATTAGAAATTTGATGCTCTTGATTATGTATCATTAATTCTGAATTAGGTGAATTTGGTGGAGTTCTTCTTAGTCTTTTGTAACCAGAAAATCGGTTAAATGATACTTGATCTACGCAAATGGCTTGCGTAGTATGCCGAGTTTTATATAAGATTGGACAACCTAAATCTCCTTTTAAACTTAAACTGTACAAATTTGCAAGCCGACGAAGTTTTTCTCGTTCAGGCTGTCGCATAGGATGTAATCTAAGTTCATTCTGTGTAGGATCTTGTAAAAATCTAGAGACTTTTTCATTGGCTGACGTGATAATCGAATATCCTGGTTTATTGTCAACATGACGTCGGCCAGCACGGATTTCTCTTCCACTGAGACCTTCTCGAATTCTTTGAATTCTTTTTCTGTAACTTTTCCTGGCTTCAATTGTAGTATGTTCAAAATTTCCATGTATCATCACTTGGAATGGTGAATCAGTATTAACTTTATCTTCATTGGCACTTTCACCATCGTCCCACCAGCTTGGTTCTCCAATCCAATCTGATTGTTCATCGTCTCCTAAAGATAAAAATTCTAACATAAACTAAAGACAAATATTCTAACATATTGTAATTATTAGATGTAATTTTAGAATGTACAATGGAAGAATCTTTTATTACACACTTTAATAGTATTTGTTGCACATATCGATAATTTAACCCGGGATTACGCACGTGGGGGTCTAGTCGCTGGGATGTACCTGCGCTAGACCCCCAGGTGGGTAATCCCGGGTTAATACCTTCGCGATCTTCGTCATTTGTGATAAGTCCAGCTTCTGAATCACTAGATGAAATGCTTGAACTGGATATTCTTGAGCAATCAATACCATCTTCAGTTTGCATTTTGATGCGATTTTTTGATTTTGTATTTCTGTTTGGTTTTAATGACCTCATGCCACAATCTGTAGACCGTTCCCTACAAGACCTTTTACGTTTCCCACACCTATAATAAAAGATTATTTTGTGACAATTTGTAACATTGAAATTCAATCTTTTATTGTTATAGAACATTTACTGATATTTAATATATACCATATTGTTCCATATCTATTTTTACAATCACTACGGAGAATTCTCTTTTTATTTGTAAGTGTTGCTGACATTACAACAGTCTGAGAGGTTGAAGGATTAGAATCAGAGTCAATAGACATTCTTTTAAATTTCCGTTTTCTTCGTGGATTTACTCTAGGTACAAAATTTTCATTAACCGAATCGCTTTCAATGTTACTAGCATTATTTGAATTAGAAAAGCGTGCAAATCTTTTTGTTTGATTGGTATCGTCACTATCAGACTGGTATTTAGAGGCAGTATTACTTTTTGGAACATGAATGTCACAAATAGAAGATGAACTGTCATCTGATTGTTTGTTCATATGAAGTGATGCTGAAATAAAAAAAAAGTATTTAAAGATTATTTTCGAAATTTCTTTAATAATTTTCAAGTGTTAAAAATTACTTTTCAAAAATTTATAAAATTTGACTTCTTTGAGCAATGAAATATGGTTTCTATAAACACTATCTTGACAACAATCCTTTGTCTGCCTTGTAGAAATAGACTGGAACTGATTTCATAGAAATGTTATTAGAATATGTCATTTTAATCTTTATTTTAGACATATTAACATAATGCATAAGCTTATAAAATATTGAAATAATTTGACAAAAGAAGTTATGTTTTATATTTCATTGCTTTATACTTACGAATATTGCCTGTGGAGCGGGCCCTTCTTCTAATACCCCATCTGCGTCTCACATTTGCACTGCTGTTGCTTTCTTCTAATGCCAAAGTTAAATCATGCACAAGTGCCTCCATTTTTACTCTTAAGTCTGCTGGTACAGCTTTCAAAACACGCTCCATTTGAGGGATGTGTTTATTTCTAAGAAACAGGAGATACAATATGATTTTATATGGTACAATAATAGCGTTAAAAATTTGTATAATAGCTTTCAAATAAATTACTTTATGTATAAATTACTTAAATGATTGAATGAAGTATTTAATCATAATTTGAGCAATATTGTACATCTATTATCTATTAATATACGTATTACATATACGATCTATTATCTGTTATGTTTATTTCAAATATTCATAAATATCATTTAAAGTTTACTTCAAATATACTGTACACTGTCTTCTAATAAGTTTATTTCATACATGTCTTGTTTGTTACTTTGTTGATATACATAAATTTCGATACACGATAAATAAAATGTGTATTAAGATTTTAAATATTCTGTCTGTTTGTTAAAAAGCTTTAATTATCAAGGGAAAATTTAAAATCGTATTTTAATCAGTGGTAAGATAGAAAAAAACCCAACTTCATGTTCACCTTGTACATATAATTGCGGAAGATGTAAATTTCTCTTGTTAGATTGATAACATTATTGTAATGTTTGTATTAGCTGATAAAGAAAAGAAAAAGAGAAATATTTGGGAAACTGTCAATTCCAAATATGTTTTGATTGTGTCACGTCACAGATCTTCACTACTCTGCTATCTTTGTTTTGGAGTGGCAAGGAATGGTGTTTGTAGAATACCATATACGTGTGTGTGTATGTATGCGTGCTTCTGAAGAAATAATTTGGTCACGGTTCAATTAATTTATGTTCTAAAATTAAATACGCATTGACGTGTTACATTTTCATATATACACGCAAATAAAAAAAAAAAAAGACAATGTGAAAGCCAAATACATTATTTATCAACGTCGAATCAAATACGGATATCAATTAGCCAGCCATTTCCGTATAAGATAAAATACTAAATTCGGTGTAAACTGCGAAACGATTCATTAAATTTTACGAATTTCACAGTGAATTTTACGTTACAATTCCGTTTAAAATTGCAAATAATTATGAATTATTCGCAAGATATCGCGTTGGGGGACTGTTGTGTATTGAAAATACACCCTTAGGATATTTTTTTCGGCCATTTCCGGTCGTGCGTTTTATGGACGCTTTGTGCCTGTTGGAAGATTCTCCCGTTCTTCGTTCAAATAGTTTGAGTATTCTATTCGTGGAAATTAAGTGTTTCTCGTTGGAACAAAATTTTTTTGGATAACTTCGCGAGCATGAGCATGACGTGATAGCGTAATGTGGAATTGTTCGGAATTGATATGAAGAGAAATCCTGGCGGTTGTGTAAATAGCGCGTAGTGGTGTCTGCGCGTATGTTGATGCGCATTCGTAGACAGATGAGCGCGGGATTGTGGTGCCCAGACGCGAGGGGACTGTAGTACGAGGTTGCTCAAGTGTTGAGACAAAGACGTTTTCAGCAGAGTATTTTATGAAGTGGCAAGTAACAGAAAAATTAACGTTCTCGACGTATCGGCCATTGAAGCGCGTAGGATCGGCGTTCGGTCCCAAAGGGGCCTTACAATGGACGGTGCTAATGTGAATGGCGGGAATGCCGACGGGGCACGCGAAGAACCTAACCTAGATGCTGCCAGTATGCCGAATGTACAAGCGTCGCAAACTAAAGTGGAATCGGCTACTCAAATGGATGGGCAAGATGTGAACGGCGATATTAAGAGCTCTCTGAAAAAGGGTATGGAAGTCAATGTTAAAAGAAAGCAGTTCGACGCTGATTCGAATAGTATCGTTGAAAGTGATACAATGTTAAATACAAAAGGATGCAAACGGAAGCTATCGGAACTGGATGACCTTAACTCAGAAGAATCAATGGAGTTCAATGGATTCGACACGCGCGACTACAATGAAGTCGAGCAAGCGAGCCACATCCTAAAAAAATTAATTGGTATCGGTAACTATTACGTTCAGGTTTATTTAAGATGCAAACTTGATATTTGCCATCAAGTATCGTTAGGAGAATGGAAGAACTATGTTTTGTTTACAGCAGACTATTATTTTTACAGATATTTATTGAGATGTATTGTTTAATAAATAATAAATTGAGTTAATTGTTGAATGAATATATTTTTGCAGATATATATTACTTAACAAGTAATTGTTTGAGTTAATTATCGAATGAGTTCAATTCAGTCACAGTCTCAAGAATTTATGTTGATAGTGTTTCATGTTATAATTAAATATAAATTAAAGATTTGAAATTATATAAATATGATGTATATGTATAATGGGATGCTGTATTTTTAACATGGTTGCATTATATAAATGAAATTACAATATAAGCATTTATTTGTTTGTATGAAGTTACAAAAGTTTTCAGTTACATAGATATTTTATAAGAAATTTATGATAAATGTGGTTTTGGAGGAATTAGATAACATTAATGTGATTTATTATAGCTGAGGCCGAGCTAGCAGAAGTACAGTTAGCAAAACGAAGTAGATATAGTGTAAGGAAGAATTTTGATACAAGGAAAGATGATGAAGACTTAGATGACAATAGAATGCGTGATAGTGAACATATATTAGATTTTGATAAAATAAAGAAAGAGAAGGAGTCTGATAAATCAGAAACAGATTCGATTGAAATGCCAAATGAATCCGAAACAGAAATACAAAGAACAGATGGAACTTCTCTCAGATCAACAAATTCTTCATCAGCAGCCAGTAGTCCAGCAACATCGATAAAGTCTAAAAGTTCTCGTTTATTACGTGGAACCAGTCCAGCAAGTATTGGGAAACAAAAGATAATAGTTGATATGTCAAATCCAGCATTCAAAGAACCGTTTAAGTACGGTTGGAAACGTGAATTGGTATTTAGAGCAAGTACTGATTCTAGCCTCAAAAGAATGGCTGATATCTATTATTATACACCAAAGGGTAAAAAAGTAAGAAGTTTCAGAGAAGTTGCAGAATTTCGTAAGTATAATTTTATATATTAATATATAATTAATTAATGTAATAAACAATAACTATAATAATAATATGACATCTCTTTTCAGTCAATACAAAAGAATTAACTATTGATAATTTTACATTCTTCAAAGAACCAATTGGACTTGATGATCCAGAAAAAGAGATTATTCGAGATGCAAAAAAAATAAGGGTATACAACTTAATTTTTAAATACATTAGTTTATTAAAAGTTTATAAAATAGTAATTGTAATTTGTTAAGTTAAGTTTATTACAATTTTATAAAATAGTAATTGTAATTTGAAAATAGGGACCTGGAGTATCTATTCCACCAAGGAGAGGTATGGGATATAAAAAAGTTACACCTGGTAGAAAAATTGCAGAAGAATCTGCAGCAGTTCCAACTTCAATATCTACAAAAACTACTATTAAATCATCAAAACCTACAACAACAGGATTTAAAGTTAAAGTGCCTGCAAAGAAAACTCCTCAAATAAGTATGCATAAATGTCAATATAAAATTTTCATTATTTGTTAAATTTTGTGTATTTAAAATTTATATATATCTTCAGTAAAAATTCTCCTATTACTAATTGCCACATATAAAATAATTTTATTTAGTTTTGATATTTAAAATATCGCTTTGTTTAATATTAACTGCAAATTTTAAAACATAAATTTTATTCTCCAGTTTTGCCTGGTAGTTTAAAAATTAAATTTAATTATATATAATTTTTATGTTTTTATGGAAACTTGTTTTTATTACAAATATTTTTGTTCATAGCAGAAATGAAAGCACCTTCTCAAGAAAGAGAAATACTTCCACCTCAAAGGACAAGTACAAGAAGAAGTCAACTACTTGTAGAAAAACCACCGCCGCCTAAACCAAAAAGACAATTAACGTGAGTATCTGATATTTTAATAATTTTTATTATAGCATTCTATTGTGATTAGTTTGCAATTTAAGGGTATCTTAAATGCTTAATAATTAAAGATGATAATAGTCATATTTCTTATGCTTTAAAAAAGGTCCAATGAAAAATTTACAGCATGTGCATCTGTTATATTTTTTTATGAAAAAAATTTTATAGAATTTCATTATACATATAATGTACGATGTATAGAAATATATTACATTTTTTACATAAAATTGTTTCAGTAGAGTTATAATAATTATTATATTTATTTATTATTGAATTTCATATTCATATAAAAATTTTCTTAATAATTGCAATACAAATTCTTCTTTTCAATAAAAAGATGTTCAAAAAAAAAATTTTACATTTTGCATTATAAATTAAAAAATATATTAGAGCACATTTTATTTTGAAGATTAAAGTGCATGCTGTATAGCAAATATGTGTAATTACAGAATTCGAAATTTTATTTTGAAATAGTTCAAACTTTTCCTTCTATATTTTTCATAACTGTATCCTCCTTTATCCTTTTCATCCTAAAATTCCTTACTTAAATTTTGTGTTTTATTCCTAATCCCCTTCCCCAATCAACGCACATCTTACAGGCCCAAAGTTCAAGAACCATGTAGCATAAGATGCTCAACAAGTACGGGATTGATACCAAGCTTACAATGTCGTGTATGTCTCTGTTTATATCATCCTGAGTGTGTTGATGGTATGGAATTTGCACGGAGTGACAATTATGTTTGCAAGGTACGTTTTTTTTTTTTGTAATAAAAAATATATATTTTCCTAAGTTTTCTTTAATGTATTTTTATTTTAATGTATTTTCATCATGTTCTTTTATTAATAAATTAGTATTTGTTATAATATTTTTTATTCTATTGTATATAAATAATTTATTTCGTAATTTTGAAATCTTTTATTTAAATATATATATTTTGATTTTTTGAAATCTATTTTTGGTCTTCTATTTATTTTAATATATTGTAATAAAATGCAACGGCTGAGAATAATTACGTTCAATAAATAATGTTAATTTTGTTATAGAACTGTCAGCAGGATACTAAAGAATTTCATCAGTCTCAAACAAATCAGTCTTTGACACCTCCTCCATTGATACCAATTAGTATGCTAGGTGCACAAAGTGCAAAATCAAAACATCAAGTAAATTCAATTCCTCCAAAACTTCAACGAATACCCAAATCTGATAATGCAGATTTACAGTCGCGAAATGTTACTAAGGTTTCAAAAACATCTCCTGCAACATCACACTCTCCTTTAAATTCAGATAATAAAGAAACCAGTTGGTTTGCTCAAACAGAAAATGAATTTTTACAAAGCCACGATGGAACTTTTCCAAAACCAGCGCAAAATATTGCTGTAATGGGAGGCAAGAGATATATTGTCGTACCAAAAAATAATGCTATGGCTGTTCAGCCAGCTATTACAGTGAAACCTGATAAAATAGGTGATAAACCTCCTATACTTCAAGATAGTACACTTACAGATATATCAAATGCTGTTGATAATTCTATGTCTACGAAGTCTCGTACTTCTTTAACGACAATGTATCTGGGAAAAGATATTTTCGATAAGTCAATTGATAAAGATACGTCAAAAGATGTATCTCATACAGAACTTCCGCCACGTTCAGAAGAGATTGATGGAACGTGCAATGATAGAACTGACTTATTGACTACAACCAAATCACAAAATGATTTGTCTAATACAACAGATCTTGCATTAGAAAGTAAGAAACCTGAGAATTGTAAAACAGCTGAAAAGAAGAGTATAGTAAATAATTCAAATATAACTAATAAAAATAATGACTTATTTAAACTAGAAACACAACATTCTATGAAAAGTAGTTTGGGTACTATTAAAATAAGTAGCAAGTAAGTGTTTATTTCTCGGACACACATGTTTCTTTTACTTCCTTTTTTTTAAACATTTTCTCCAAATAAGTTAAGGCAACTCTCTTTTGAGGTTTTGGCAGTTGCTTTGTACATATTGTATTTACAAGATATACGTGATTTTTAGTGGTTAATTTTGTATATATATGTATATACACAAAACCTGTAGTTACATGTATTTTTTTTAATCATTTTATAGAAAATTTATAAAAATACTCAAATAAACGAAATATTTTATATAATATTTCATTTATTTGAGTATTTTTATAAATTTTTTATAAAATGACTAAAAAAAAAGTACATGTATCTACAGATTTTTTCGTTTCATATAAAATTTATACAAATACTATTGTAAATGCAATATATACTGATGTTTATTATATTTGGAAATATAAAAGTTCGAGGTAAAAAATGAATTTGATTTTATCTTGTGATCGAAGCACACTGCCTTAGCTTCTTAGAAATGCGGCCAAATTTTTGAAAGATGTGAAAAATGAACAAAACAATCACATATCGTTGGTTCTTGCAGGTATTGTGTAATTGTAGTATCAACGTAAAAGCTTGTATTAATTTTTAATTGAAAACGTTTTTTTAAAAACGAATACAGTAAATTAGATAATATTGGATAACTATTTACATTCATGCTACAATTACAAATACAGCTACTGATAAGTGCTTCAGTGGAAAAAATCTAATTCATTTTTACTTTTTTATATTTACAGATATAAAGACATGTGCGAGCTGAAACACAAAAAACTCTTAGTGCGTTTTCCCAAAAACATCCTAAAATCCTTGTTCCTCGTTATTTCTGCCTCCTTTTTATGTTTGGTTTTTTTTTTTTTTTTTTTTTTTTTTGTTTCTTT